GACAGACAGAGGGACGTACAGAGGGACAGACACACAGACAGAGGGACGTACAGAGGGACAGACACACAGACAGAGGGACGTACAGAGGGACAGACACACAGACAGAGGGACGTACAGAGGGACAGACACACAGAGGGACAGACTGTTAGCTTAGCATTCACTGTGTTTCTTCTTCTGTGAGTGAAACAGACTGAACGACTTGAATAAGTGTGTTGCCATGGTGATAAAGACAGAAGATTCCACATTAGATCACTGAAGAACAGATGAACTTCATGATGCTGGAACATGTTTGTTCTTTTGTTTCTGTTAAACTGGATGGTATATGTTCTGTAAATAATGTGGGCGGAGCCAGATGTTTGTTATGACACAAACAGCTGAAGGTAGTCCTGTCATGTCAGATTGATTATATTAATCACAGATCAATAATAAGTCCCGCTCATTTATGTCACACTGAGCAGTGACTGATGGTCTGTGTCTGCTCTCACACTGAGTTACTGTGGAAACACTTCAGTCACCTGATCCATCGTCAATACGAACATATTGACTGTCACCCTGTGTTCTGATTGGTCCCTGACTGTCACCCTGTGTTCTGATTGGTCCCTGAGTGTCACCCTGTCTTCTGATTGGTCCTTGACTGTCACCCTGTCTTCTGATTGGTCCCTGACTGTCACCCTGTGTTCTGATTGGTCCCTGAGTGTCACCCTGTCTTCTGATTGGTCCCTGAGTGTCACCTTGTGTTCTGATTGGTCCCTGACTGTCACCCTGTGTTCTGATTGGTCCCTGACTGTCACCCTGTGTTCTGATTGGTCCCTGACTGTCACCCTGTCTTCTGATTGGTCCCTGAGTGTCACCTTGTGTTTTGATTGGTCTGTGACCAGCAGAGGGAGACAGTTAAAACAAAGTGTATCTTTCTCAGGACAACGTCCCAGGATCCATCCACACTGTGTTACTGCTGGTCAACAAGGACTCGTCTCTGCGTCTGGACAAACCTGCAGCCACACAGGTAACACCTGACACTTGATCACACCTGACACTTGATCACACCTGACACTTGATCACACCTCACACAGGTAACACTTGACACTTGATCACACCTCACACAGGTAACACTTGACACTTGATCACACCTCACACAGGTAACGGCTGACACTTGATCACACCTCACACAGGTAACACTTGACACTTGATCACACCTCACACAGGTAACACCTGACACTTGATCACACCTCACACAGGTAACACTTGACACTTGATCACACCTCACACAGGTAACACCTGACACTTGATCACACCTCACACAGGTAACACTTGACACTTGATCACACCTCACACAGGTAACACCTGACACTTGATCACACCTCACACAGGTAACACTTGACACTTGATCACACCTCACACAGGTAACACCTGACACTTGATCACACCTCACACAGGTAACACTTGACACTTGATCACACCTCACACAGGTAACACCTGACACTTGATCACACCTCACACAGGTAACACTTGACACTTGATCACACCTCACACAGGTAACACCTGACACTTGATCACACCTCACACAGGTAACACTTGACACTTGATCACACCTCACACAGGTAACACCTGACACTTGATCACACCTCACACAGGTAACACTTGACACTTGATCACACCTCACACAGGTAACACCTGACACTTGATCACACCTCACACAGGTAACACTTGACACTTGATCACACCTCACACAGGTAACACCTGACACTTGATCACACCTCACACAGGTAACACTTGACACTTGATCACACCTCACACAGGTAACACCTGACACTTGATCACACCTCACACAGGTAACACCTGACACTTGATCACACCTCACACAGGTAACACCTCACACTTGATCACACCTCACACAGGTAACGCCTGACACTTGATCACACCTCACACAGGTAGCACCTGACACTTGATCACACCTCACACAGGTAACGCCTGACACTTGATCACACCTCACACAGGTAACGGCTGACACTTGATCACACCTCACACAGGTAACACCTGACACTTGATCACACCTCACACAGGTAACGCCTGACACTTGATCACACCTCACACAGGTAACACCTGACACTTGATCACACCTCACACAGGTAACACCTGACACTTGATCACACCTCACACAGGTAACACCTGACACTTGATCACACCTCACACAGGTAACACCTGACACTTGATCACACCTCACACAGGTAACACCTGACACTTGATCACACCTCACACAGGTAACACCTGACACTTGATCACACCTCACACAGGTAACACCTGACACTTGATCACACCTCACACAGGTAACACCTGACACTTGATCACACCTCACACAGGTAACACCTGACACTTGATCACACCTCACACAGGTAACACCTGACACTTGATCACACCTCACACAGGTAACACCTGACACTTGATCACACCTCACACAGGTAACACCTGACACTTGATCACACCTCACACAGGTAACACCTGACACTTGATCACACCTCACACAGGTAACACCTGACACTTGATCACACCTCACACAGGTAACACCTGACACTTGATCACACCTCACACAGGTAACACCTGACACTTGATCACACCTCACACAGGTAACACCTGACACTTGATCACACCTCACACAGGTAACACCTGACACTTGATCACACCTCACACAGGTAACACCTGACACTTGATCACACCTCACACAGGTAACACCTGACACTTGATCACACCTCACACAGGTAACACCTGACACTTGATCACACCTCACACAGGTAACACCTGACACTTGATCACACCTCACACAGGTAACACCTGACACTTGATCACACCTCACACAGGTAACACCTGACACTTGATCACACCTCACACAGGTAACACCTGACACTTGATCACACCTCACACAGGTAACACCTGACACTTGATCACACCTCACACAGGTAACACCTGACACTTGATCACACCTCACACAGGTAACACCTGACACTTGATCACACCTCACACAGGTAACACCTGACACTTGATCACACCTCACACAGGTAACACCTGACACTTGATCACACCTCACACAGGTAACACCTGACACTTGATCACACCTCACACAGGTAACACCTGACACTTGATCACACCTCACACAGGTAACACCTGACACTTGATCACACCTCACACAGGTAACACCTGACACTTGATCACACCTCACACAGGTAACACCTGACACTTGATCACACCTCACACAGGTAACACCTGACACTTGATCACACCTCACACAGGTAACACCTGACACTTGATCACACCTCACACAGGTAACACCTGACACTTGATCACACCTCACACAGGTAACGCCTGACACTTGATCACACCTCACACAGGTAACGCCTGACACTTGATCACACCTCACACAGGTAACGCCTGACACTTGATCACACCTCACACAGGTAACGCCTGACACTTGATCACACCTCACACAGGTAACACCTGACACTTGATCACACCTCACACAGGTAAGGGCTGACACTTGATCACACCTCACACAGGTAACCTCCCAGGTGAGTATACTAAATGACTGTGTGAGGTGACGGCTGCTCGTCCTGCAGCTCTGAAACTGTACACTGAACTCAGCAGCTACAGACAGGTTTACTGAGACTGTCCAATCATGAAGCAGATGATGTGATTAGTGTTAGGGCAGTGTGGACAGATGGCGCAGAGGACACACACACACACACACACACACACAGTCAGTAGTTCAGTCAGTGTAGAGGACACACACACACACACACAGTCAGTAGTTCAGTCAGAGCAGAGGACACACACACACACACACACACACACACACACACACACACA